TCATGCAGCTTTCACTCCATAGTCGTCCAGATTGCAACACAGCATTCCATATTTCATCTCTTTTGGAAAACAACGAAGCCATCCTAAAATATATTGATTTAACCAAAGCAGTTACTGGGAGGTTTTGTATGCCTTTGAATACCCCGTTCATGGATTCAATTAGATTTGTTGTCATGTGGCCCCATCATTGTCCATTGTCGTATGACCTAGTCCATTTTTCTACCAGAATGTTATCGATCCACCTACCGGCGTCCGGATTTGACAATTGACTCTCGTTGCGATAATATTTGAACGTAGGTTGTGTCAATGCATATCCTGCATTCATAACCGCTTTCCTAAGAGCTTTGTCTTTGATCTCCCTCGTGAAATTTTGGATGATATGTCTAATGCAATAGACATGTGTAGAAGGAGGGTCATGTCAACCGTTTGCAGGATTGTTGTATGCACTCTTAATAGATGCATGTCTATCAGAGATCAAACAGAGATCTGGTTGAGGAGCCACATGTGTTCTGAGATTCTTGAGAAAGAAGCTCCAAGAACCACCATTCTCTCCCTCGACTAGGGCAAAGGCAATTGAGAAAATGTTGTTGTTACCATCTTGTGTAACTGCCATCAGTAGTGTGCCTTTATATTTCCCATACAACCAAGTCCCATCAATTTGAATAATTGGTTTGCATGACGCAAACCCTGTGATGCAAGGTTGAAAAGTCCAAAACACTCGACTGAATATTCCATTTCTGGTGAGTTGACTGCCATTACGCTGGCAGTGTTTCCAGAATGTAAACAGTACCCAGAGAATAAGTTTGAAGTGCATTCAGGTAGCGAGAAAGTTCTTTGTATGACTCCTCCCAGTTTCCATATACCTTTTCAATCGCCTTGGTCTTTGCTAACCACGCATTTCAGTATGACGGAGTATAGTTAAATACCGTAGTGATGTGGGAGATTATGGTTTTCACCTTTAATGATGGATCGTTGCTGACGAGGGGTAGGATTTCTTGACATATCAGATCATAATTTAGTTTCCGATGATCTTGTGATTGAGTAGAACTGACACACGTGTGGGTGGACATAGAACCTATGACCCAACAATCACCTCTTAATATGTATGATGCAGTGATCTTGAACATACAATTCGGGTTGATACACTTAATCTTGTACCTTTCTGGATTTACACGGTCTACCTTAAAATCGACCGAGTTGAGCATGTGAAATTTTTTATGGCTCGGATACATTCTTCTCTATTACGAAATTTGTCTTTCTCTTTTAAGTTTTCATCCGACTGCATATATGGATTGAAAAATAAATCAGATGACAGTTCATCTCCGCCCATGTTGAAGTTTGTCATGTGCGGAGGTGGTGTGTAGATCTCGTTTGAAGGTATACCAGGTATCCCATCGTCTTTGGAATTATCGTTGACCATGTCGTCAAACTCTAACTCGTCATCTTCTTCTTCTTCAACGTCAACGACATCTACTCCTACTTGTTCGGTCTCCAGAGGATTAACTACTTGTGACAGCTGAGGCTCTTGCAGCATAATGTACAACCACCTTACTTATCATGCATGCATGCACCCACCAACCACATCACTTACTCTGTGATAAAATTTTGCCTATAAATACAGAGTCTCACATACTTCTATTGCATCCACAATCATCTCACTCTCTGCTACAAACTCTTTCATAATCTCAGATAATTTCAAAGTCTTTCATAATCTCAGACAATTTCAACAATGGCTCTTCTCAGAATGGGCGATTTTCACAGAGGCACAAGGGACAACATTACAGCGTTTGTAAGTTTCTTGTATACTTATACATTTTTCATACTTCTATTAATGCTTATTCATCTTATGGACTCTTACACTTTTTACATTCTTAACTTAGGATACTAAAAGATTCAGAATCCGGTCACACAACTACCTTGCTCCCGACCCATTGATCATACCCTATCTCGAATACGCAGGTTTCAGAAACGTTATAAAGATCTCCAACTGCACGATTGATTCAAAGTTCATACTTGCAATGTTGGAAAGGTGGAGACCAGAGACCCATACATTTCATCTACCAGTAGGTGAATGTACCGTCACACTAGAGGACGTGTACATGTTATTAGGTCTCCCTGTCGATGGTAAGACGGTTAATGGGTCGGTTCAACAGCCCAATTCTCCGTGTGAAGAATTGTTGGGCACGAATATGGTTGAAGGTGGTGGTGCGAGAGGTCAGGGTATACTACTTACTGAGCTCAAAAATCATTATGCGACTCTGGAATTGAACAAAAATTCCTCCGAGCTAGTTAAAGTAATAAAAGCTAGAAATTATATAATGATACTATTTGGAACCTTTTTATTTCCCGAAAGTACGGGAAATAATGTAAATTTAATGTATTTAAATTTACTTAGAGACTTTGAAAAAACTAGAAAGTATAGTTGGGGTTCTGCTGTTTTAGCCCATCTATACAGTTTCTTGTGTAAAAATGCAATCAAGGAAAAATGTATATTTTATGGATGCACTTTTTTTACTTCAAGCCTGGGGTTGGTGGAGAATGGAGTCCCTAAACCCCATTAATAACAACGCATTCGTTTTCCCATACGCAACAAAGTAAGTCATTAACTTATATCATTTATTATTATTCATCTCTTCACCAAATATATGATAAAAATATTTAAAAAAATCAATTCCTTTAGGTACTGCGTGAGGGGTATGGATTACAGCAAGAATCCAAGATTCAATATCGCTCTATATCACAATCTATTGGATCACCTTGTCCCGGATGATGTATGTTATACCTTTCAACTTTTCTACTTTTAAATTATTTATTTATTACGTTTTTATTAAGCTGATTTAATTTTATCCGCAGTTTGTCTGGAGACCATATTTGGGTTTGGACCATGAACCAAACTCCGATGATGCAGCAATTTGGAGCGCAAAGACTGCAATCATACGGTTCAATATTATGGAGATGCACCATAATGATCGTGTTAAGATGCAGTTTGGAATGCATCAAGAGATACCCTGGGATCCAACTTGTTTGTCCCCGTGGCATCTCAAAAGGGTCGACGCCCAATGGGGTATTACCAACTGAAAAGATTTTGCTCCAGAATGGTGTAAGATGTGGCAGAGGTGTCACCGACATGTCTTGCAATTCCCAATTTTCCTCAACCATGGTAATATGCGACACAGAAATCAATATTTAGCTTGGTACAGATCGGTTAGTACCCCAAAAATACACGTGTCTTATCCAAGGTATTTGGTTGACCCACGAACACAATTGGCACAACCCTCATTTCCCCAACAATAAATCCAACACACATCAACCTCCCACCAACCTCCCCGACGAAACAGAACCACAAACACCCAACTACAATCACCACCACAATACGATTACACCCACATGCCCCACAACCAACCACAATCACCACCTCAATACCAATACCCCCATATGCCTCACACCCAACCACAATTTCAATCACAATACCAATACATCTGCATGCCCCCCACACAATTTCAGTCTTCTACATATCCCAATATGGGCCCCCCTCAACATCTAACCTTAGCCCTGATCTGGGATTTTCCGAAGATGAACCAATCGACCCAACTTACCATCAACCACCACATCACCAAAGCACCCAACATTCCCAATACCAAACACCCCAAGATCCATTTCCTTTCTACCCCTCGTACTCAGACGACCAGTGCTACAGACCAACCATGGAATCCCACCCACAACCAACACGACTAAACTTTGAGGGTATGGGTAACCGACTGTACCAAAGCAGATCTTCTAGATATGGAGATCTGACTGATTTCATGGATCCGAAACGCATTGACTTCGTTGGGCCATCGATCCGGCCACAACAAGAAACGCGACGACACCCAGCACTGGAAAGGCGAGGACGGGGATGCGGAACCGGGGGTCATTACCGGGTTCCGGGGGACCACTGATTAATTTGTATTTTTTTATGTAATCGTTTTGTGTAATCATATTATGTAAATAAAAAGTCAATTTTCTTGATCCTATATCGTTTACGTAACGTACCACATTTAAAATAAAAAACGCGAAAAATTGCCTGCCATTTGCACTAAGACGCCATCTCACTTGACTTAGGGTAAGCCTTTTACACATAGGCGCCAAGTGAGATGATGCCTCTCCTTTAAAATAAGGTGCATGCGCCAACTGAGTTGGCTCCTCCCTTGTAGAGTTTTCTGAAACATGATTATTTGCGTAATTTTCTCTGAAATATAGTTATTTGCGAAAATTTTTTTAATACCTGATTATTAAAAAAAAATCCATAATTTAACCAAAATAATCTTTATTAATGATATAAAAAAAATAGAATAAAAAATATTTAATAATATAATATAAATAATCATATTAGTTATTTGTTAGTATTATACAACTATTTATAATTAGTAAATAACATTTTTTAAAGTGACAATAAAAAAGGTAAAGAATGTTAAATGTAAAATTAATCTACACCGACCATATATACTTTTTATTCTCTTTTACTTTTCATAGTATGTCTTAAATCATATATATCTTTAAACCGAGTGATAAAATTAAATATTTTACCTTTCTGACTTTTTGTAGTAAAGAAAAAAGAGAGTTCTAGAATGTTTAATCAACTTTTTATCTACGCATGAATTTAAAAAGTCTCAACTACCGTTGATTGTATACACTGCCATTGCATTCGTTCAATCAATTTCAGTGTTAAATCAACCAAACATAGTGTAATTAAAAAATCCAAGTCATTATTAATTTAACTAATTTAAGCATAAATAAAAAAACAAAAATAATAATAAATTTCAAATTGAAATCCATTCTACAACGGTCATATTTGCCAACGTGTCAACGCTCCATACGAACCACAACCCAGTATAAATCCCCACACACACCCATTCCCTCTTCATCAAATTGCCCTATTTTTCGCGTATTTGTCTGAATCGCCGCATCACTTCAAAAACCCCAAAACACCTTGTTTTGTTTTTTACTCTCGATTATCATTCATGGAGTTTCACGGTCTTCCAAGAAAGGAGCTTCAAGCTCTTTGCAAGAAGAACAAGATTCCGGCTAATATGACCAACGTTGCCATGGCTGACGCTCTCGCCGCTCTTCCACAGGTAATTCTTCATCTATTTACTATCTTTATATCTATTCGATTCATTTCTTGGGTTTAATTTCGTTTCTTTGAGTTTAGGTTTGTATCAGTCATCGTTTAGATATACTGTTTAATTTCTAGGGTGTAGAGTTATTGAGCTTGATTGGATAGATTGCTGATATGAAATTGATTAATCAGTGTCCTATTTTTAATTATCCTTTTTTTTTTTTATAAATCTAAATATTTGCTTTGAACTGTTTTTACAGGTTGAGGGATTGGGCGAAACTGTGAATCCTAAGGAAGGTGGTGGTGATACTGGTACCCCGGCTGTTCAACCTCAAACAGCTGGTAGAACTACAACTCAAAGGAAGCCGGTGAAAGAATCGGAAACCTCTAAGATCTCTACACGGCTTAACCGTGGAGCGAGATCTGGAGTAGTTGAAGGAGAGGTTGAGCAAGAGAACAAAGATGCTAATGTCCCTATTACTACTCCTGCTGTTGTGCCATGTGGCAGGAGAAGGGCGGCCCCTGCTGTTTCTACTCGCAGAAAGAAGGAAGTGGAAGTGATCATTTTAGATGAGGAAGAAGAAGACGATAAGAATGAAGTTGAAGAAAAGCCTAAGGATGTGGCGGCTAAAACTCCGGCTGTAGTGCCCAAAAGTAAGACAAGAGCAGCGGGCCGTTCGGTTCGCGACAAGAAAGAGGTCTCTGATGGAACTTCATTGCAGAACGCCTTTAGTACAAGGAGGTCTGTGAGAGTGTTGGGCAAGAGCTTGTCAAAGGTTAGCTTGGTGGAGACCGAGGACAAGGAGCAGACCAAGAACGAGGATGTTTCTGAAGATGGTATGGCTGGATCTTGTTTTTTTTTTAAAATTATTGTGAATTGCATTTATATTTGCTTTGTTTTTAATCTACTTGTGTCATCAATCATTGCAGGGACTAGTTTGCAGACAGATTCAAATGGGGTTTCTCAGAACAAGGATGAAGTTGAAGTTTCCTCTGTAAACAAAGCTGACTATGAAACCAAGTCACATGATTCTGGTTCGGAAGCGAAATCAGCTGATGCAGAGGATGTGTTGCAGGCTGAACCAGAGGTAGAGGGTTCAGAGAATGTTAATCACGTGGAGGCACATGAGGACCTAAGTTTAAATCTGGAAGACAGTTTTGAGACATGTGTTGATTCAAAAGAAGCAGGTTTGTTTTTCATCTGAATTATTGTTATTATTTTTGTGCATTCAATGATAGTTATGATGTTGCTCACTTTTCAGAACCTGAGCAGCCTAAACCGGAAGAATCTGATGATACTGATGAAACTGAAAATATAGAAAGCTTTGGAGCCAAACAAGATCAAGCTATGGAGTTTGCTGCCCCAGAAGAGACTCCTCTGGAAGTTACTGACCAAGCTATTGGTGATACTGCTGAAATTGAAAATAAGAAAAGCTTTGGAGCCGAACAAGATCAAGCTATGGAGTTTGCTTCCCCTGAAGAGACTCCTCTGGAAATTACTGACCAAGATATTAGTGATACTGCTGAAATTGAAAATAAGAAAAACTTTGAAGCCGAACAAGATCAAGTTAAGGAGTTTGTTGCCCCAGAAGAGGTTCCTCAGGAAGTTGCTGACCAAGCTATTGGCGCTTCAACCGATGTTGTCTCTGGTGATATTTCTATGGAAGTTGCTGACCAAGAGGATGTTGCTGACTTGTCTGTTGAAGCATCTGAAGAAGCTTCCAAGGGGACTGCAGAACAATCTACTGTTGGCTTGTCAGTTGAGGCATCTGATGAGGCTATTGGCGCTTCAACCAATGTTGTCTCTGGTGATATTTCTATGGAAGTTGCTGACCAAGAGGATGTTGCTGACTTGTCTGTTGAAGCATCTGAAGAAGCTTCCAAGGGGACTGCAGAACAATCTACTGTTGGCTTGTCAGTTGAGGCATCTGATGAGGCATCTAAGGAGATTTCTCACCAAGCTATTGCCTCTTTAACTGATGTAGTGTCTGATGATGCTTCTATGGGAGTTGCTGACCAAGATTTTGTTGGCTTATCCATTGAGGCTTTTAAGGAGGCTTCCGAACTAGCTACTGTTGGCTTATCCATTGAGCCATCTGAAGAAGCTTCTAAGGAGATTTCTCACGAAGCTATTACCTCCTCAACTGTTTTGGTGTCTGATGATGCTTCTATGGAAGTTAATGACCAAGAAGATGTTGCTGGTTTGTCTACTGAGATATCTGAAGAGGCTGTAAAGGAAACTGCCGAACTAGCTACTGTTGGCTTGTCCATTGAGTCATCTGAAGAAACTTCTCAGGAGATTTCTCACCAAGCTATTGCGCCTATAGATGTAGTGGTACCTGATGATGCTTGTGTCGATAATCGTGATGAAGGTGTTGCTGACATGGAATTTGAAGAGGTAGAGAATATAGAGGGTGCAGTTTCTGCTACTGTTGGCTTGTCCATTGAGTCATCTGAAGAAACTTCTCAGGAGATTTCTCACCAAGCTATTGCGCCTATAGATGTCGTGGTACCTGATGATGCTTGTGTCGATAATCGTGATGAAGGTGTTGCTGACATGGAATTTGAAGAGGTAGAGAATATAGAGGGTGCAGTTTCTGCTATTCCAGCAGAAAAAGATGAATCTTCTGGCAGAGCTGAAAATGAGGGCGAAGAAGAAAGCAACGATGTAGAAAAGGTAATTCTTAAACTCTCAATGATGGATGTTTCTGTAGAAAAAGAGACTGACCAGAATAATACATCCCAGAAGCTGGAAGTAGAAGCTCAAACTGAAGAACACACTGAGCTTGAAGATGAGAGCGAAAAAGAATTCAACAGTGTTGAAAAGGTAATTCTTAAACTTTCAATGATGGATGTTTCTTCAAAGAAAGAGGCTGACCAGAATAATACATCTCAGAAGCTGGAAGTAGAAGCACAAGCTGAAGAACTTGCCACAGAAGGAAACCCTGAGCTTGAAGCGGTGGTTCAAGTCAATGATCAGAAAACCAGTGATATTGCTGTTGAGTCCGTGTCTGTTGAGCAGATAATGGAAGAACCCATTTGCTCACCTCAGTTAGAAACTAAGGAAAAGTTGAAAACCATTGATGTTCAGGAAATGAGTATGCGGAGACTCAAGAAGTTGCTGAAATCAGGAACCAAGGAAATTTCAAATGAAATTCAAGCCGTTAGTGTTGAGAGTGACATGAACAGGCTGTTATCAGGAACCAAAGATATTTCTAATGAAATTCAAGAAGTTACTAGTGTTGAGGGTGTCATTAACAAGCAGTTACTGAAATCAGGAACCAAAGAAATTTCTAATGAAATTCCAGCAGTTCCTACTAGTGTTGAGAGTGACATGGACAATCCTAATACGAAGAAGGAAAACTCGAAAACCATAGATGTTCAGAATATGAGTATGAGAGGTCTAAAAAAATTGCTGAAGGAGAAGCTAGATGGAAAACTGGCCATGACTGTTGATGGTGATGTCCAAATGCAGGGAGTGGAGAAGAAGAGAACTGCACTGCAAGCACTGCCACAAAATCAGTTGGCTGAGAAAAAGGCCATGTATTAGGTGTGAAATTAAAGTAATATTAGGTTCTTTGGTTTTTGTACTTTATGAGGCGGAGAATCCAAACCATTGGTTTGGTTTATGTTTTTCTCATTTTAGTGTGCAAGTTTTAATGGTATTTGAAACCAGTTTTTAGATGAGATTTAATAGATTTTGAGACATATTTATGAATCTCTGAATAAACTTTTTAAGTTCAAGGATTCATTTGAACATTATTTATAATATTGAAGCATATGTCATTTGAACTAGTAATAATTCTTGACAACTTTTGTTTGCAAGTGGGATAATCTTCCATGGTTTCATCTAACTACTCGTCAAAGTGGACGAGATGGTTTCGGATTTATGACGAGAAAACTCCTTCCAATAAATATTTATTTGAGGTCTATAATAAATATTTGAATTGTTTATTACAACAATTGAAGAAGAAGATAGTTTAGTATATAATAATACATGTTATTTAGTATTTAAAAACTGAACTTAACATTAAATCAGTGAAACTTTTGAATTAATTTAACCTTAACTTACAAATCGGTAACTAAATTTTATACATTCATAATTTAATAAAATAAATATTTCAAAAATCAATTACAAAAACTTAATAACAACACAATACTCTTAATTTTCAACGTTATTTTAATAACATTTAAAGAAATTAAAAAACTACAATAAAATAAGATAAACTAATTCAAACCAAAATTAAAATAGGGATGATGTGAGTTGAACACAAATAAATCATAATTAAAAAACAACAATTGAACGACAATAATTTTATATATTTGATAGGAATGATGTGATGATGGTGAAGTGTGGTTGAAAGAAGAAAAAAATTTACAAGGGAGTGACAAAACTTAGAAATTTGTATGGTCATAGAAAAAATAAGGAGTTCTTTTTGTGAAGATATTTTAAGTTTTGATATTGACATCTTTAAAAAAACAATTTATGCATATTGAATCGGGCGATTTTACAAAATCGGCTCCGGTCATTAGTTTCAAATAATTTTGGACTGTTCAATCCAAATTTTTCGGTTTTACTCTAGTTGATCCATTAGCATTTTTTCAAAGTTGACCGAACTAGATTCAACTCTAATTTCTGACCCAACCAGTTGAACTGAACGGTTCGGTCCGATTTTAAAAATATTTAAAATGGTCATTAGTACCACATTAATTTATTATGAATATTATAATATTATTCAAACTATCGATATGCAAATTATTCGTTAATTAAAGTAGTAGTTATTTCACTATTCAAACTAGATGTTAGTGAAACTAACCGTTATTCAAACTAGTCGTTAGTCATATATTATATATATTATCATTTTTATTTCACTCTTCTCTCACTTAAATGGTTTCAAATGATCTCAATAAAAACTCTGTTGGGATTTGATTGAAGAAGAATTTATAGACGACACAAATGAAGAATTGATTAATGTCAATACTTGAGAAGTAATGTCAATATGGAGGTTCCTTTAGGCCAAATAGAAGGACATAAACAATTATTCAATGACTACTTCTCAGAAAATCTAGTATAATTAATGCTCAATTTCGAAGAAGATTTAGAATGCATAGGCACATGTTTCTTCGAATTGTAGCCATCCTTAGAAATCATGATGAATATTTTCAAATGAGGGCTGATGCAATTGGTAAAATGAGATTTTCACCATTGTGAAAATGCACATCTGTTATGTGTATGTTGGCATATGGATCTCTCGTTAATATTATTGACGAATATGTTCAAATTGGTGAAAACACTGAAGTTGAATGCTTAGATAGTTTCTATGGGGCGTGAATGATGTATTTGATGCCGAGTGTTGTACTCCAAAATTTGCCCTCTCATTCTTCAAGGCCTTTTTTCACAAGGATTCTCAAGGTTCAAGCTTGCACAAGTACTTTGGAATTTTCCAGTACCAAAATTAAAAGGAAACTGTCAAAAGGGGAGAAAACAGATAAAAATATGATTTTGACAAAATTTGGAGAAATACAAGTGTTCTTCGTTTCAGCTCTTTCGATTGGCCTTTTGACCTCTTTTGATACAGGCTTTGGTTGCATCCTTCGACTGGGCGATGGCCTCTGGCACGCTGGCTTTGATTTACAAGGCAGAAGTTTCCTACATGCCACCTTCGATTGCATCTCTGGCCTTACTGGGTTCACAATGCCATGACTGCCTATTGCATGTTTCGTTTGGATGTCTGATGCTTGCATGCCTATACAAACTTTCCCTCCATGCTTTCCTTGACTCATAAAGTAATGACTAGTTACATACAAACTTTCATTTGAGCTACAACTTGCACGCAAAAGACATCCCCCTTGCTAGCATGCACAAGGTACAAAGCCTCCTATAACTTCCTTCGATTCCAAGGCAAAAAGCTCCCTTTTGGTGTCCTTCGATTTGCACTTTTTTGCCTCATATATGCCTCTTTCGAATCTGGACATTTTGCCTCCTGCATGCCTCTTTCGTTTGGGCATGTGGCCCCTTTCGTGCAAGTTTTTGTTTGAGCGTTGACCTTTTGTGTGCTTGCTTGGAGTCACAAAGTTTAGACCTCCTCCATGCAGGCTTCGACAAGACATTGACTATGTTTGTACTAGCTTCGACTGGACAACATTTCTCTTTAGTATGCTGTATTTCCATCCTTGACAAACTTCAGCACATGGTTGATGGCCCCTTCAAAAGGCATATAGTGGTGTACTTTAGGGGCATACATATGAGTCCCTGTCAAAGGGTACACCTTACTAGTATATTCGAAGGACACATTTGGACCCTTCAAACGATGCACAAAGGTGATTCGTTTGAAAGACACTTATTGGAGGGAAGTCAAACAATATGTTTGGAAGAAGAATCTGGTCGAAGGAGGGTCAAAATGAAAGGATGAAATATTCAAAGATGCTTGCTGCCAAGTCCAGGCATGGTACACTGGCCAAAACTGTTGCACAACAGTCTTGAAACACTGCCCCATTCTTGCACCGAAACAGCATACAAGCACTGTCCCTCGAAGGCTACAAAGAGAAGTTTACTCAAATTGTTCAAATTATTTTGTTTTCCCTCCAAAAGCTTCAGCCAACTTTGCCTATAAATAAGAGGCTCCAACACATGTTTAGGAGGACTTTTTGGCCAGGCGAACGAATCTTCAAAAAATTCTCAAACACTATAAAGCTCTCAAACACTTAAACACTCATCAAACACATACCCAGAATCCAAACACTTATCCCCTTAGAATCTGAAACATCCCTATACCTTGTTACCCTTCGAATCCAATAGGAAGAACCTCACACTTGTTCTTCTCTTTCGAATCCAGTATCAAAGACATAACCCCTGGTTCCTCCCTTCGAATCCAGAAGCATTCAAGGAAGCCACTTAAAGGCCCAGCACACGTTCCAGCCTCAAGCAAGGTAAGTCATTCTTAACCTTGAACCCTTCATTTCTAGCATAACATGTAAATAAGCTTCTTTTTCGTTTCAAACATGTACGTAGTGTTTGTTACCTTTTCGTTTCCACCCTTTTAGTTTATTTTTATTGCCTCTCCTTTTGGTTTTGCTCTTTGGTTTATTAACAAATGCTTTAAGAACTAACCTGACCCTGAGGTAATGATAGCATGGCCTTAGGCCATGTTGCTATTTAATATCTCAAACGAAATAAACAGGAGACAAGAGTATGAAACGAAGCCTCAGGCTTCCTTACTGACTCCAGGCCCAATCGAAGGAGGCAGAAAGGCAGATTACATCTTATACTGGTTCCACTGGTCCCAATCGAAAGGCACAACATGCTGTCCCACTGGTCCTAATCGAAAGGCACAACATGTTGTCCCACTGGTCCCAATCGAAAGGCACAACATGCTGACCGTGAGGCCTCAGTCGAAAGTCATACCTTCACCCTTTTCAGGCCAAATCGAAGAGAGCCAGAAAGTGCAGAATCGAAGGGTTTTCTGCCTCAATCGAAAGACCCTCATTTTTCTTGCTTTTATTTTATTTTTGCCTTTATATTTTCATGCAATTCAATATGGTTGTAATAGTGTAGGATTTTATCTTTCTGTGCTTTATTACTTTTATATGCTTGCTAGTAAATAGGATATGTATGGCCAGATAAAATCAACAAGTAGACAATCACTAATAAAAAAACAAAGCATGAAAATAACACACATGCACACTTGCACCCCTAGGGTTTCAATCCACTTGTTGCCTTCAAAAATAGGCCATGATATGCATGTCAAGTACTTTGGCAAAACAAAAACAAAACAAAAGATCATAGTCCCTCAATGACGTTATCTGAGTTGCCTAAACAAAATGATCAAGTCCCTCAAGAAAATCGCCAAAAATACTTGACACCATTGCTATCATGGTCTATACGATGACCCACGCCTGTCCCGTAAAATATCCTAACACAAGGTTGTTCACCAAATACAATGGTGAAACAACACTGTTAAAAGGGTTAAAAACATAAGAAAGATCTTTGAGTAAAATAGGGTAGATAACTCTTAGTTACTTGATCAAAAACTTGCAAAAACACCCTTGCTATCTTCAAAACACACTTCTCCACACAATTTCAAAACCCTACTTTCAAACATTGAAAACTTTTCAAAAGACAAAAACACCTTTGTATACATTGAAACAAGAATCATTACAAAGGTTGCCACAACGATGGCCTCTTTTCAAAACATCTTTCAAAACCACACACAAAGCACTATTTCAAACAATTGAAAAGCAAAGCAAGTGATCTAAGCAAGTAACTAAGAGCCCATGGATAACCATGGATAGAAAGGGTGCTAATACCTTCCCTTTCTATAATCTACTCCCCGAACCCAAGAAAAACATCTCAAAGGTATTTCCTGTGCTTTTTGGCCTTTCCTTAGGATAAAATAAAAAGTCGGTGGCGACTCTTGCTAAACCGAAACATTTGCGAACACAAAACGCAAAATCCCAAGTCAGTTCTCCCACCGTATCACAGAACTGGCGACTCTGCTGGGGAAATATTCTAAAAGTGGAGTAACCTTAGGGCTTAGATCACCCTTTTGC